GTGTACTGTATAGAGATATGTATAAACTCGACTAAAAACATATATATATATATATATATATATATATATACATACATATATATATATATATATATATATATTTAAGGTCAGTTCTTATTGGTTACTTAAGCATTCTTTCTTTTGACTGGACTCACTTGGAAGTAGAATCTTTCGGAGAGGATAACCTGCATCTCTTGTTCCTAGCATGTTTTTTTTTGTTTTGTTTGCGTCCTTCATTGTCTTGGCCAGAAGTTTAGCATATTCTGCAGCCTTTTCCGGATGTTTCCTCAGAGCAGTTTGGCAGTGTTTGTGGTAAAGGACATGCTGAATAACAAGGTGGTGGATCTTAGGTGCTTTGGTCCTGGGTTACCTTCGCTTGTTTGAGGGCTTTTTGACAGCATATTGGTGGATGTCATCTTCTCTAGAGAGATGAGAAGTTGTGGATTCTGTTCTTTTCTGCCCTAGGTGGCCAAAAAGGTACAGTATCAGTCAACGCAGTAATATCTTTTTCTCCTTTTTTTTTTTTAAATCAGTAACCAAATCGAGAATGCTCAGATTGACAACTATAGTGCAACCCCAAGCAAATTTGTGCTCTCTCCCCATTTCTCCTTGGTCTGTAATAGGAATCCCCCCTACTCAGTAGCAAGCACACTGGGCCATGAGTCAAAACAGCCTGCTTAGTGGGAAAACCTTGTTTGTCTTTCATTCTCACTGGTGTTAGAGTCCATGAAACCCATTATTCACCCAGAGTGTCAGCAACTTCTGACAGCCGGTGTCTGGGAAGGTGATATTCATTCAGCTTGATCTTGAAGCTGCTGATTGCCCTCCAGGTGCCATGGTAAAGAGACCCAACTTATGCTTAGTGCTTTCTTGACTAGATTTTTGTTTGTTTTTTGAGACAGGGTCTCACTATGTAGTTCAGGCTGGCCTTGAACTCGCTACATTACCCAGGCTGGCCTCAAACTTGAAGTGATCCTTCTGCCTGGGCCTCCTGAGTGCTAGGATTACAGGCATGTGCTATCAAGCCCAGCTCTCTTGACTAGATTTAAGTAAAACGTTTCTGACAATACTTTATAAAATGACAAGGTACTTGGTGTCACATAAGAAGTGGAAAAAGTGAGATATGACTCACTGTTCAGCATGCTTAGTTGTTTATGTCCCTGTAATGAAGGGCTGATCTCTCCTTGGTAAAGAGACACTTTCCCCTGTATAATACGTAAGCAAATTACTTGTTCTGCAGCAGCCCCTCACCTGACGGCTTTTCACCTCTGAAAACAGGTCGGTCAGTCTCTCTCTCTCTCTCTCTCTCTCTCTCTCTCTCTCTCTCGACCTTTCTCTTTCTTTGGTGAGCCCAGGACCTAATATGCTAAAGGACCTCTCTGCCAAGGAGCTACACCCCTAGTCCCAGTTCTGTCTTTTTCATTGCTTTATAATTAAGCTCCACTTGATACCACATCTCATAACACTTGAAAAAAACTTGTATCACTTCTAGAAACGATTAAATTTTGTTACTAGCATTTAGAATCTTTTAAAATTTTTCCTTGTTATTCTTATTTACTAAATGAACTACTTGATAGAATAAATTAGTTGGGTGTGGTGATGCGGGACTAATCCCAACCCTTGGGAGGCGAAGGCAGGAGGATCGCTGTAAATTCGAGGCCAGACTAGACAGCAAGAACCTGTCTCCAAAAGTTTAAAAAAGTCCCCTTGTTTCCATGGCAACTTTTCCTTTAACTACTGTCTTTTAAGTTTGTTAGCAAGTTCAACTTGATCCTTGTTTGTTTGGTTTTTTTGTTGTGTTTTTTTTTTGAGACAGGGTCTCACTATATGGTTGAGACTGACCTGGAACTCACTATGTAGCCCAGCCCAGGCTAGTCTCAAACTCACAGTGATCCTCCTGCCTCAGCCTTTCAAGTGCTGGGATTGCAGGCATGTGCCACCACTCCTGGCTTCTCAACTTGATCCTTTTAAAGAAATGGAAAGCAATAGAAAATATTGCAAAGATAAGTTTAAATTGGCTAGTGAGAGTAGTGTGTGCATGCTTTCTTTTTTTCCAGGCAGGCACTGTGCTGCTGAGCTGAATGAATCCCCTGGCCTGGCCCAGTTTATCTGTTTTACAGGAGGAAAGAGCACTCATGAGTTGATAACTTTGGTAGGTTGGTAAGTAGATCTGTTTTCTAAGCAAGCCTATCTAATGAGGGGAGGGTATGGGTAGCATTGGTGAGTTAAAATTCAAGATGATTAATTACTACTAAAATTTTCTACATTTCTGATCCATGTTGAGTGCTTTAGCTGTAAGCATACAGAAGGGGGAGGATCTTACACAGGACCATGACTAAGAAGCGTGGGGAAAATGGAGCCCAGCAGAGAGTAACCATTGTTATTGTGATGGACCATTCCTAGCCAGCATAGGGCAGCTAGAGATATAATGAGATAATGAAAAAATGGTAAATCCATAGATTGTGTTAATAAAAATTTAGAAACTGAAAGATCACTGAAATAAAAACGTTAAGTAAGCTGTTACAGAGGCTGGCCAAAAATAACGCACTGGTTCTAGGGCAAATTCTCTCCACTATCACTGACATCACAGGGAAAAAAATATCTGCTAGATCTAAGAAGCTAGGATATTTGAGGAGCTGGGCAACATAAAGTGAGCAAAATTCTGGGATAAGGGAATCATTGATAAGGAGAAGTGCTTGTTGCTTCTGGATTGGTTAGTTCTATAAGCAGAATACAATGTTGCCTTCATGACTAGTCTATAACATACCGGAAGGGAAAGTGGAGCATGGTTTTTCCTTTTGTTGGTTTACCCCAAAGCTGTTGGTGTAAAATAAGCTCCTTATCCCTTCCTTCCTTCTACTGGTCTGTAATTTTAATTGAGGAATTGTCAAAACTCTTCTCTTATTAGCTGCATTGAAGAATTATCGGAGTACAGGTGTTTAGTGTAAGAAATCTGGACTAGAGCTGAGTGTGGTGGTACATGCTTGTAATCCCAGCTTTTGGGAGGCTGAAGTAGGAGGATCACCACAAGTTCAAGGCCAGTCTGAACTACATGGTGTGAGATCTTTTCTTGGGGGAAAAAAAATCTGAAATAGAGGTGGTTTTGAACATGAGATGCTTGAAATAGATTCTGGAGATATATATTGGTGATTAAAAATTCTGGGTTTTGACTGGAAAATATGTGGCTTAACCATGCTAGGTACGCTGAAGCAGGGATGTCCAAGAGCCTGAGAATAAGTTTGAAAAGATGGTACGTACATATGCTGGGGTTGCCAAGAATGCTGATGGGAATCTTGGAAGAGAAGTAAACTAGCATCTACTAGTATATGGCATGTGTTTCTAAGGGAAGGTTCTTAGTCAGAACTGGGTAAGGATGTGCAATGAGAAATGGAAGGCTCACCTTTGGAAGGAGCTGTGTGTGGGGAAAGGCCTAGGATGGCAGTAAGATGCACTCACTGAAGATAGTCTTTACGGAGGTTTTGGGGAGGGAATATGCTCAAGGTGGGAAGAGTTGAGTGAAAGAAGCACAGGTTTCTAGTGCTGAGTAAGGTAAAATGAGTGACGTGAGGCTTCTACGAGGATAGGTTGTTGGGGGTAGTCTTCACTGTAGGACTGGTGAGTAGGAAGAGTGTAGCTCTTAGACCATCTGACATACTGGGGACCTCCCTTAAACCTTGCACAGGAAACTTTAACCCCAGAAAAGGTCCCATGCTTTTCTCAGTAGGCCTCTTATTGCCATTAGACATACTATATAGTTTACTTGTTTATTTTCTCCCCTCTAATCTGAATTTCCAAAGGTAAGCACTTAGTAAATACTTGTTGGATGAACTACTGTCTCTCCCCCCTCCACACCTTCCCTCCTTTCCTCCCTCCCTCTGTACCTCAAGCTTTGGAGAGAGGCAGGCAGGGAGCGGAACCACTGAGCTAAGTCTGTGACCCATTAGTTCATTTCTTGATAGCCATACTTTCTGGAGTGAAATGGAATCTGTGTTGTTGAGGCTCTAAGCAATGAACTATTTCACTATTTTACAGAGTGCTTCTGATTCCCCATGGTTTTGCTGAGCTTGTAAAAGAGACACTTGGATGGTGGATTAGCAAGAACACTGACGTTTTGTGGAAAGTGTCAAATTGGAGAATACTGAATTTTCACCCTAGTCCAGCAGCTCTGCTGCTCACGTAAATACAGATGAATGAAGACCCCATTTGGAAAGTCACCTGGCCAGCGGTCCAGAGCTGATGCAGGTAAGCAGTGCGGCTCTGCACATGCTTCAATTTAATACACTTTTGCTTTTCCTTGTTGGGATCAAAGTTTGGGCCTTTGCACTGAGTTATATCACCAGGCCTTTTTATTTTTTTGAGATAGGATGTTGCTGAGTTACCTAGGCTGCCCTTGAACTTGGAATCCTCCTGCCTCTCAGCCTCCCAAGCAGCTGAAATTAACAGTTGTGCACAGCCACACCCAGCTATTATAATAAACCCTTTTAAACAAGGATAAAATTTAGGGATACTTTCACAGGTTTCTAGTGATAATGCTGTTCTGGAAGCTTTATGATTTCAAGTATATTATGCACATACACATTTGAAAGAACAGCTTAAAAAAAAAACAGCTTTAGTTTCTTGAAGTGGAGAGATCACACTAAGTTTTTTTCCTGCATAACCTGACAAGTAATAGATACCTGATAAATTTAGCAACCGAATTGTAAATGCCTAAGAGGATTATAGTAAAACCAGAGTTGTAGTGGACTCTCAAGTTAAGATCAGCCTCACATAGGAAAAACTTGAGTTGTGACTGAAATTTTAGTTCTAACTTATGACCAAAGTCTTGAGTTCTGACCTGAATGCCAGCTGCTTGTGTGGTTGTAAACAAAGACTTGATGCCAGAAAAGCATATGTAAGCATACAGAAGTGTCACTCTGAGCCCAGATGCGTATGTTTATGGGTGTGATTTTGGTCAGTGCTTTATATAAAATGGCCCCCAAAAACCTAAAAAAACTAGGGAAGGAAGGGAAGATAAAGAGAACAATCACAATTGAAAAGAAGGAGAAAATTGTAAAGAAAAGTGAGAGTGGCATTCATGTGACCAATCTTGCTATTATGTACAGCATGTTGAAATCCACCACCTTGACAATCTTACAGAAAAAAGGTTTGTGCTGAGCATGGTCGCACTCACCTATAATCCCAGCGCTGTGAAAACTAAGGTAGGAGGATTGCTGCAAGCTCAGGGCCATCCTGGGCGACATAGTGAGTTCAAGGCCAGTTGAACTGCAAAGTGAGGACCCTGTCTCAAAAAAAAATTTTTTTTTTGATATAAGGAAGCAAGTATTGCAAAAGGTGTTAGTCACATTAATAAGTCACAATCCACAGTGTTAGATGAGCTAGAAAGGCTATTATTAGTGTGGATAAATGAAAGGCAGATGGCAAATTATAGCCTGGGTCTGTAATTTATGAAAAAGCTGGGGCTATAAATGCAGATTGGTAAAGGATAATGCAGCAGAGTAATAATGGAGAAACATTTCATGTCAGTATGGGGTGGCTTCACAGTTTTAAAGCAAGAACTGAGGTTCATAGCATAACTAGGCATGGTAAAGCAACCAGTGATGATAAAAGGGCTGCTGAAAATTACATCCACCACTTCAAAAGGAAGACACAGAGAAATGGCTTTTGCTTTCAATTTCAACTGTGATGAAACTGGTGTTTCCTGGAAGAAGCTGCTCCGGAAAACATACCCAGGATGAGAAGAAAATGCCATTCCACAAGTCTGTGAGGGATAGGCTGATGTTATTGTTAATGTTCCAGTGTGAAGCCTCTCTTGGTTTCTCTGAGACTCCCAGAGTATTCAGAAAACATAAAGTCATGAAGCATAGGCTACAGGTCATGTGAAGATCTAACAGAAAAGCCTGGGTAATAAGACTACATTTTCTTGAGTGGATCAGGGAGGCTTTCTGTCGTACTGTTAAGAGATATCCAGAGGACAAAGGTTTGCGCTCAAGGCTCTTATCATGGATAATGCTTCTGCTCACCCACAAGATTGGAAGAATTGGCTGAAGAATTCCCTGGCTCTCAGTCAAGTTCCCTTCACCTAATACAAGTCCTCTACTGCAGCTCATGGAACAGCAGATTGTAGCTAACTTTAAGAAGCTATACACCAAGGAACTATTCCTGAAGTGCTTCCAGAGATGGTCTCAGATTCAGATTTAACCCTTAAAGAGTTTTGGAAGGAATATTAACAATATCCTTTCCTGTGTGTTTTTTTGGTTTGTTTGTTTGTTTGGTACCGGGGATAGAACTTGGGACCTTACGCTTGCAAAGCAGGTTGACGAACCACTGAGCTAAATCCCTGGCCCTCCTCTCTGTATTTAATTGAGAAATCCTAGGCCACTGTCTCTCTAAGAACACTGAGATCTTCCTGGAGGAAAGTGTGGCCTAAAATTATGTGAACAAGAGAGAGACTTTGAAGGTTCTGTAGAGGAACCTGAGCCTTCAATTGACCCTGTGGCTGATGACTTTGTCTCTATAGCAGAGTCCATAAGCTTGCAGGTAGACAGTGGTGATGTTGAAGAGCTGATGGCGGAACGCTCACAGGAATTGTCTACACAGGAACTTCAGCAGCTTCTAGCTGAGCAAGTGAATGGTAACTGAGGAGCTTTCTGAAGAGGAGAGGGAGTATCAATAATCAGTGCAGCAAAATTCGTCTGAAATAAAGGAAATCCTTAAAAAATGGACAGAGCTATGAATACTTGTAGACAAAGACCCATCCAGACAGGAAAAAGCCAGTTGCTACATTCAGTGTCATATACTACAGAATGGTATTAAAGAAAAGAGAAACAGACAGCCTTAGACCAGTGTTTAGTTCTGAAAAGCTCAAGAGCAAGTGAGCCAGAAGCAGGTCCTAATGGGCTATAGACTTTCCCAAGGAGAGAAAACACCAGAGAGCCAGCTTCCTGATGTTCTTATGGAAGGGGATGCTCCTTCAGAATAATAAGCACTTTCCGTTTCATCCACCCTTTCCGAAAGCCAAAGGTGAGTAAATTCTCTCTTGAATGGTGAGTAAAGTACAAAATTGTTGTTTCTAGTAAACTAGGCACATTTTATAATGTTTTGATGAATGCACTAGAAAAATTATTGGTGTTCTAGTAAATTACATTATACAATGCTTTTTTATTATGAAAAGGTCAGTTTGGGAAGTTCAGTATGCATTATGGGTATTTACATTATTTCTTATAGGAAAAATAGTCTTGATTTAAAACTAACTTGAATTACAACCTGCCCTTGCGAACAAATAGAGTCTGTAAATCAAGGATCCCCTGTTTCATATGTGCATCTGAACTTTGAAAAATGTCTCATAAAATGTTGAGGTTCTTTGATAAATGAATCTGAGAATTCTGTTAGCAACAGCAACGGTTATAATGTTTCAAAATCTGTTATGTGACTTAGAACAATTTCTGTAGCATTTGGAGTTCTTTGTACAAGCATCACAAAGATTCAGGTTTCTGAGTACTTATCTTTTTACTTTAGCTCCTCTTTTTTTAATAATAAAGATATTAATTTAAATGTTCAATATTTATCATTAAGATTAATTTAGGATAGCAATGACTGCTGTAACTCATCTAAGAGCTTTTAATTCAGAATCTAAGCTCTTTTAGCTTACTAAAGTTACTAAAGAAATAGTATAAACATTGATGCATTTTTTACTCTTGAGCCTTAGTCTCATGTGAACAACCAAGTTTGTAAGTTTACCTATTGGGATTAAGGTACGTTTAATGGTATTATTGATTGTACTGTTTACATTAAAATATTTGCTTCATTAGTTGAAAATATTGATGTCAGATTTTTATTGACTGATTAATGAAACCTTCCAGGTCCTGTCTGTCATTTAAAATAATAATTCATTTTCTGAAGTTTTTGTGTGTGCATCATTCCAAATTGGAACTTTTTTCTTTTTTTTAATCAATTTGGAAGTCACCCTCATTTTATGAAAGCTGGCTGATCAAAGTGATGTGTAGTGTGGTGTAGAAGTAGCTCAACCAAAAAGTGCTGTTTTCCCTTTTTTCTACATAGTCTACACAACACAGCATCTCTGATTGCCAAAGTGTGTATGTATGTGTGGGTGGAGGGGTTCTTGCCACCAGCAGCCGAACAGTGCTTGCAGTGAACAGCCTCCACTTCAGCTCACTTGTGATCCTGTCTGGACCTGATGTCAGAATTGGCTGTTTTGGTTTTCCATGACCCTGTTTGCTGGAGTGGCTCATAGAACTCGGGAGATACTTAGGTTTACCTGTTTAAGAGATAGTTTACGTTTACCTGTTTAAGAGATAGTACAAGGGCTGGGGATTTAGCTCAGTGGTTCTGCCACCTGCCTCTCAAGTGCAGGGTCCTGAGTTCGATCCCCGGTACCCCCCCAAAAAAATTAGATAGTACAAAGTAAGTGTGCAGGTTAATCAGCTGAAAGATAGGCTTAATGGGGTAAGGCACTGGGAAGGGGTACCTAGACTGCATGCATACCACCCTTCAGGCCCCTCTAGACATTGGGCAAGCCAGAAGCTGTCCAGTTCAAAGTGTGTTGGGTTTTTATGGAGGTCTCATTATGCAGGCATGCTTGGTTACACCATAGGCCTTGTGTGACGAAACTAACCTTTGACCTTTATCTTTGGAGGCCCTAGAATGAGGTTGAAAGTTCCAAGCTATCAAATTCTGCCTTGGTTTTTCCAGTGACCAGTTGCCCTTTTTTTGAGAGGCACAGAAAGGTTTTATTAGTCACAGTCATCTCCTTAATGTACACCTTTAGAGATTTTCTGGGTTCTAGGAGCTATGTATCTGAAAGTGGGGAGGAATACCAAAAGTATATATGACAATTGTACAGTAGTATGCATTGTTTTAGGAACAGTGATGATGCAGTATCTTCATCAGTATAGCTTGTGAATTTTTTTTTATTCTTGTTAATAGTAGATCGATTTCCTGTTGTCCATTTTCATTGTCCATTTGTAAGTAAAATTCACCCAATAGAAAGTTAATTGATTTCCTGCAATAAAAGCCCAGGTAGGTATTCCAGAATTGGTATAGGTGGCTCAGCTGTGCCCATGGGTATGATCATCTCAAGGACTTGAGGTCTAGGTCCTGTGCTGGACGGACCCTAGAATCTTTAACACTTTGGTCTCCTGGAGCATCTTTCTCCTTATGTGGCCTTTGAGAAGCTTGACTTTTGTTTGTTTGTTCATTTGTTTGTTTGTTTGTTTCAGGGATCG